TTCAGCAGAGTGGATGTAAGCTTCGTTATGATTGCATCATCCATGACTTCTAGGAATAACACGATGCAATTCATATCATGTATGATGCAATACCAGCTTCAGATTGCATCATTCATTGTTTTGTCTAAAAAGCAAGTACTGTCCAAACCCAGTCATAGATTTATTCATAGATCCAGTCAAAGACGTATTTTAGTCATTTCTGGTTTAAATTGAGATCCCTTCCCTTTATGACTCACTTATCCTCCGCCATTCCCAAGTCAAGGGTCGTATATACTGACCCAATAGCATATCTTGAAAACTAGAGCCAATCAACAATTTTAAGCATCATTTTTGTTCTCAGTGACCCAGAATTAGTAAAGTTTGACTACATTTATTTCAGAAGCATTTTGGCTGTAGAGCAGTGTTATTAGTTACACCTTAGAACACAGCTCTGTGTAGCACACAGCACTTAGTTTATGGAAAAAGCACATATAAGTTTATTTAACAAAGAAGAGCGATTCAATGATAGCCAACAGCAATCCTGGAAACAAAGGGTTGCATATAAATTAAAATCATAATACGCATTGTAGAGCCTAGACTCAGCTAACAAGGCACTGCTCACCCAAAGGCCTTCTGACCTCATTTTTTAACCCAGGCTGCGGCCCTCCTTTCTTGAGACCAAGCCCGCTGGCAGCTTGTTCCCCCAGGTGAAGGATACTACGGGGTCTTTCTGCACCCCCAGATATCTCAGACCAGTCCTTTGTTCTACACCTGTAAACCAGCCACCCCATCCCCGCTTTTTACCTCATCCTGATAATCCCCCCTCCCTCTCCACGTGGCTCAGTATGCTAATAGTCTCTATTGTAAGACACACAATACACACAATGGTCAGCTAGGGTGATAAGCATCTCCTGCCTGGTAGAAACTGTCACAAGGATAATACCTCTGGGTGACCTGCCATTAACTACAAGGCTTTAAGAATCCAGTTTCCAACACATACCTGTCTCCTTCCATATTACCCGCACATACACTTCGCACAGGTTATAAGGACCAGTGTGACACAGGCTTTCAGTAGAACCTTCACATGACACCTTTGGTGAACTAGAATGTAAACACCAGCCCTGTGGGATCCCTATAACATTCAGGCCCCCCGTGCCCTCTGCCAGTTGGCTGCAAGAGGTCTGTGGCTTACACCACCCATCTGAGTTAATAAACCTGCTTCAGCCTTTAGCTGAGACCACAGAGACTCCCAGTTTTAGATCCAGAAATCTCATAGACAATCCCCACTGCCGACAATTCCCTAAGGGATTACACCTGCTTTTTATCCCCCCTTTGCCCAGATATTTGTTCTGCAGCCTTAACAGGCTCATTTACACACTACTAATGCATGTGCACATTTTCCACAGTGCTCACAGCCCAGCAGAGACACGGCGGTGACCTACACAACTGTAGGTCATTGCACAGCACAGACAGCAGGTCATTGCACAGCTGGGGAAACAGAAGATGACTTACATCCTTATGGCATTGGTGAGCACATCTGGCAAGTATGAACCCCACTGGCCTCTCTTATGTGAAACCTTTGGGGAGGGACCCAAGTCACAGAGTTGGAGTGGGAGATAAATCTTGCCCTGAGCTTCCCCAAAGTTTGGAGGAGTTCATATTTCCTATTCTGATCTGGTCCCATTCTAGAGATGATGTTCTAGTCTATGTCGGTTCTTATCCCAGTCTCCCCACAGTAGTATCTGAGCGCCTTATATAATATAATATAATATAGAGATATACCTATCTCATAGAACTGGAAGGGACCTTGAAAGGTCATTGAGTCGAGTCCAGTCCCCTGCCTTCACAGCAGGACCAAGTACTGTCCCTAATAGATTTTTTGCCCCAGATCCCTAAATGGCCCCCTCAAGGACTGAACTCACAATCCTGGGTTTAGCGGGCCAAGTGCCCCTCAAAACCTCAGGTTTAGAAGCAGATAAGTTCTTGGAGCAAAATTAATCTCACGCATCTATTAATGTGTGTCTGTCCGTCTGTCTCATGTTTTGAAATATGTGTATGCACTTCCATTCAGAGTTCGACTTACCTGGCCGTCCTCACGGCGGCGAGTCGACTGCCGCGACTCCCCCATCAACTCTGCTTATTCCTCCTGCTGAGGTGGAGTACAGGCATCGATTCGCAGATCAATTTATCGCGTCCAGACGAGACACGATAAATTGATCCCTGATACATCAAACACTACCCGCCGATCCGGCGGGTAGTATAGACATACCCTAAGGCTATAGAGCAGACACATTAATCTCTAAGTGGGCTCAGTGCCACTAGCTGCGACAGAACACCACACCCAGAAGGTATGTGGGTTACATTAACAGCCATATTCCCTCTGGAGTTCAGGTTGGGCAGTTGAGTTGCTGTGAATGTTCATTTTTATGATGTTTCTCTCTCACACCCTTTGCAGGTTTTGGTCTCTAATGTGGCTTCTCTGAGAGCACAGGGCTCAGGTCTTGCAAATGCTTTGGATTTGTTTTCCTTTTTGTGCATCAGATTATTTTTTCTCTTTTGGAAACATATTACAGCTCTAACTGACTGATCTGCTTCAGAACAGCAGCTCAGCTCCCCAAAGAACAGAAATCTGCTCCCTAGCATCCCCTCAGTCGTATCAGTCAACCAATAGCTATGCCTTTTGTGGAGCAAATGGCACATAAAAAACACAGAATTTAAGATAGATAAGAAGTTCCATGTTTCATATTTAACATTATATCAGACTATTTATACAGCATGGCCTGGACTGGGAGCTGGGCTCTTATCCTGGCTGTGCTGGCTGGGTGACCTTGGACAAATCACAGCCCACTCTGTGACTCAGTTTCCCCATCTGTAAGTTGTGGAAAATGACACCAACCTCCTTTGTAAAGCACTGGGAGCTCTAGAGATGGAAAGCACTAGATACAAGCCAACTATTTTTACTCCTGATGGCCAGATGCTGCAAGCCTTGCTACTAACGAGTAGCTCCATGAGTGGTTGCCTTGAAATCAATGGGACTTCTTGGAATAAGATGCTATGAAATGGGTGACATTCACTCCTCTGCCACTTAAGACCTATCTATCACTTAATCAGGGGGTAAGAGGCACATAAGCAGTGCATAAGCCTTGTGCAAAGGCATGAATTTCATTCCAGGTAAACAAAGGCAGAAACATCCAGCCTGTAGTCTCTCTCTCCAATACACAGTAGCTTGCAAACATGTGCTTTCATTTCCCTTCATATATATTTCAACATTGATGATTTGACTATGTTCCTTCTTTCAAGAAAGCTACTCTCTTTGGGCTAATATACATGCAGTGTTACAAGTTACAAACTGCCATGCACTGTGTGATGCTGGAGATATGTCTCCACCGGTTACACTGCAGACATTTTGCTTCTTCTCTTTCCCTTTCCACATGCACAGCTATGGCCCATTGATTTATGAGGCAGTTTTGCTGTCCAGCGTGTATGTGAGCCACCCCAGATATTGACAGAGGTGCGAATTCTGAAAGTTCACAAATGTACATTGTTGAGATGAAACTGAAATGTTCTCCTTCAAATAAATGTTACTTTACCCCTCGATTTAGAGCCTACTTTTGTCTTGTGTCTAGTGTGTAGCCACAAAGGAAACACAACAATCCCGCTTGCTGGATCATGCTATTTATCATTAATATTTATTATCGGGATGATCTTTGTGGTGAAAACACTCGTTTGGGACCCAGAAGATCTGGGTTTAAATCTCAGCTCTGACACAGACATCCTGTGTGTCCTTGGGCCAGTCACTTGGGGTGGATAGATGGATACTTAGCAGGATTCGCTAAACTTCTAGTCGTCTAATCCCAGTAGATTCCAATGGGAGTTAGACGCACAGGTGCTTTTCAAACTCACACAAGGCCCCCATCTACATCTCTAAGTGCCTAAATACCTGAGAACGGGGTGGGCAGGATTTTGCTCTCCAAGAAAGAGACCAAGATGGGTGAACTGCAGCTCATGAGAAAATTCCGCCCGCGTAAGAGAAGCTGTGAGCGGCTAATCACAGCAGTGACATGCACTGGAGGGTCGGACGCCTAGAAGAAGTTTTTGCTGGCTGTCCCCTCCCCTGTAACCCTCCCAGTTACTGCCCAGCTGGAAGCAGCGATGCCAGAGGCTCCTTATCACTGCTTTGCCCCCTGGTCCTTATCTTCCTGCCGCAGGGGTTCAAAGTGCAGCACCGGCCTCTCTGGGGTTTGGTGCTTCAGCTCAATTCATTATTCAGACACCTCTGGAGACGGTGAGTAGAGATTATCCCTGGTGAGCAGAGACAGGGCCGGCTCTAACTTTTTTGCCGCCCCAAGCAAAAAAAAAAGAGCGCTGCCCCACCGTAACCCCCCCCCAGGGCCGAGCCCCCATAACACACACCCCCAGCACCGCCCCGCCCCACCGTAACACCGCCCCCCAGCACCGCGCCACCAAAACCCCCCCCGCAGAGCGCTGCACCGCCGAACACCCCCCGCCGAGCGCTACACCACCGAACACCCCCTCCC